GAAAATTGTAAAACTAGTTGGGCCAGCGTAAGGCCTATTGGGCAAACTAGAATTTAATGATCTTACCCCGAGAGATCAAGATACCTCAGTTAAGGTCTCTACTCCTAAAAACAATCTACTAGTATTAACACTTCGCAAATTGAATACTTCAACGTAGAAAAGGCATTTACGTATTGTGGCAGTACGTTGACGTTCTTCACTACAACTTATTTGAAAATAAGATAAGATGAAATTTGGTTGGAAGAAACTAAAATGAACATTTCAACGGTTGAGCAAACATGTTAGTCTTCCCACTTGAGAGGAGATTTTACACATACAAGAATATCACTTTTAAAAAAAATTTTAATTAAAAATATCACCTTTCAAAAGTTTTTAATCAAAATTATCACTCTTTTAATTTTATTATTTAAAGATTAATTGAATATCAATGCTGACTTAACAAACGGTTTTCATTTATGGGATCCACTGAATTGCTGCTGTATAAAAAAATTGACGGGTGGCTGCCCCGGCTTGGAGCTGATTTGGACAATAGAGATTTATTTTAGAATTTTTAACGAATGGTATCGCCACCGAAACATGTGGTTTTGGCGCCGAATCAGTGTCGGGAGTTCCTAATCAAGAAGATTTTTTTATTATTTAACATTAGTGTGCTTAGGGATGATGATGATCCAAAACTAAAAGGGATGTGGCGGAGCTAGGGGTGCGAGGGGGGCGTCGCCCTCCTGAAATTTGAAAATCTTATAAATTAGTATATGAAAAATTATCTAACTTCTCTTGAACTTTGAAAATTTTAGTTCTCTCCTCTCCCGAAAAAAATTTCTGCATCCGCCCCTGAAAAGGGATGAGACCAGCGCATGAGACAAAATAAAAAAAAAAGAAGAAGTTAGAAATGAGGATGTTGACGGCCTTTCTAGAAAAGGTGTCAAAATAACTTGTTCCATGTGTGGTTTGCATAACCATAACAAGAGCAATGATTCTAACTTCAAGAAACAAATATTGGAGGTTAGAATTATTTTATTATGTGTCTAATTTTTTTTTTTTACCTTAAAGCACACATGAAATGATATTGGTTTTTTTTTTTTTTTAATTTTTTAAAGATAGAATCCTACAAATGCAAGGAAAAAGAAATCAAATGTAACCCCCTCAAATCCAAGAATTGTTTTCAATGTGGAAGATGTATTCTTTAACTCTTAAGGAAGTAAAATTGTAAAAAATAAAGAGAACAAAGTGTGTTTTTTCAAAAAAATTTTATATTAATATTATTATAATATTTAAAAGCATGTAAATATGTAATGTTATAATCAAGTAATTTTGTATTTTTTTTCATGCAAAGATTTTGAAAAGTCTAAACAAAAAAGATAAAAGAGGAATAATCATAATTTTTAAAGTAAATCATTCAATTTTGTGCATGGACAACTTTCTTCGCAAACCAACAGAATGCTTTACACAAATAAGTCAAAATTTTCAAACATAAGTAAACTATGATAACTTCTTAAAATTGTTATTTTTATTAATATAATTGTCAAAAATTCAGTATAGTACATTGAATAAATTTTTTATTTAAAATATTTTATATAATATATTCAAATGATAAATTAGTTTTAATAGATTTATATAATGTATCTTATTGTGTTTAACTAATCTATATATTCATTATTATGCTTATAATTTTTCTTTAATTTTATATTTTTTTTGTTAAAATGAGTAAAAGGAGAACCTTCGACACGAGTTGGGTGCCGACACTACCTTTTTCGGTGTCGACACTTATGCTTAGGTGTCCAAATCACCTCCGACTCCGTGCAGCCCCTATCAATTTTCTGACACATCATCAATTTAATGGGCTCCACAGACGAAATTCATTTGCCAAACCAGCATTGGTATCTAATTAATTTTTAAATAGTAAAATTAAAAAGATAATATCATTGCATAAATTTTTTTTAAAAATGATAACTTTAATTAATTTAATAAAAAAGTGATACTTTTAATTAAAAAAATTTTAAAAAGTGGTGTAATTATATATGGAAAATCTCCACCTGAGAGGGTAATCTCCCAGCTGCAATGGTGGAAATTCCACTTCCTCAAATTACCACAATTAGGTATTCTTAATTATTGAGATTAGCATGGTTTACAATATTTTGCTTTAGCAAATTAACCCCGAACTCAAAGAGGCATATCGTTTGTTTTTCTCATTTGAATCTTTAATTTCTAGCTCATAATGATATACAGGGATGCTGGCAAGCTCAATAATAGTGTTTCATCACA